GGGGACAATATACAGCCTTGTCGTACTCCTTTCCCAATTTTGAACCAATCAGTTGTTCCATATCAAGTTCTAACTGTTGCTTCCTGTCCCACATATAGGTTTCTCAGGAGACCGATAAGGTGGTCAGGCACTCGCATTTCTTTAAGGACTTGCCATAGTTTGCTGTGGTCCACACAGCCAAAGGCTTTTGCATAGTCAATGAAGCAGAAGTAGATGTTTTTCTGGAACTCTCTGGCTTTCTCTATAATCCAGCGCATGTTAGCAATTTGGTCTCTAGTTACTTTGCCCCTTCGAAATCCAGATTGTACTTCTGAGAGTTCACGGTCCACATATTGCTGATGCCTGCCTTGTAGGATTTTGAGCATAACCTTGCTAGGGTGTGAAATGAGTGCAATTGTACGGTATGATGCTGGACTACAAGTCCTAGAAAGCTCAGGTAACACAGCAAAGGGTGAGGATCGATAGGAGCAGTGGTCAAACACCAAGAGGGGCATATGTTGCCCACCCATACTCTTATTTTAGAGCTAAATTTCCATCATCAAATTACTGTATTCTAATTTTATATTTGCCTCGAGAGAAAAAAAATTTACTCAAGGTTTATCAAAAGAAAAAAAAATCCTTACTGTTATGGAATGACTACATTCTGAAATTTGCCTGAAGGGAAAAATCAGTTAACCTCACACATTGTTTTTTTTTTACTATGATTAATTATATGCCATCAAGTCAATTCTGATTTATGGCAACCTTTCCCAAGGTTTTCTAGGTGGATAATGCACAGAAGTGGTGTACCACTCCCTTCTTCTGCGGGTCTCCTAGGACTGTGCAGCTTGCTCAAGGCCATACAGGTTAGTCCCACTGAGAGAAGGCAGAGTGGGAAATTGAACTCCCAACCTCTTACTATACAGCCAGATACCTAAACCACTGAGCTATCCGGTCAGCTTTTATTACTACAATTAGCGATTAGCTGAATCATTGCAACATATCTATTGTAAAAGTCAGCCCAAGCAAACAGAAATTCAGATGTCACCTTTGAACATTTTGAAAGGTGATTCACAGCTCAATCTTCTTTGCATGCAAGGAAATGAAAATCTGCTGCAGAGGTAGCTCTCCTTCTTAAGCCCTGTATACACTTTATAAAACACAACAACAACAATCTCTACAGAAACTTCCTTCATATTTCTTAGTTTGTCAGAGGAGGAGTGTGTGTTATTATGATCAGCCAGGGTGGACTGTTTGGGCAGAGAAGAGGGAAGAATTGCAGTTCTGTAGTAGGCACTGGGCTTTGAATGCAAAAGGTGCCAGGTTCAATCCTGGCTACCTCCAGGCAGGGCTGAGGTAGGCTGTCTGAAATACTGAAGAGCTTGTCAGCTCACTGGGGTGGGTGGGGAACAATGTGCAACCTGCATAATGAACTTGGAAACCGCCCAGAGTGGTTTAAGCACAATAGGGTGGTATATAAGCAGCATGCTTTGCCTTTAAATATATATACTCTCTATATATACACACACCTAATAGTGAGCTATAGCAATCACTAGTCTGATGTGGTGGAGGCAGCTTCCAAGGTCTCTCAGAGGAAAAGGCCAAAGGAAAACAAGCAGAATTAAATTGTTCTGCATTACTATTTATATACCACTGTCCACTTCCTCTGCAGATAATCTGCTCATTGATTGCTCAATTATTACAGATTTACAGACAGAGCAATATCAAAGGTGCTTCATTGTACACGAAAGATGTTCCTTTAATGAGGCTATAAGCATGGGCTAAAAACATGACCAATAAAATTCAAGGCCTTCTTTATCTCTCTTGCAGGCAGAATTTAATTCTGCTCATTTATCTGAAGGGTGGAGAGAGAGAATAAAACCTAGAAACCGTTATTGTCTTGAACTTAAAAATCAGAGTGTTATATCTAAAATAAATAATGAAATGTAGATTTCTAGAGAATACACAATTGGCATTTTCAGGGGGGGCGGATGTGCGTATGAGTCTGTCTCTACACTGAAACTACTGTAAAACCCAGAGGAAGCAGATGCTGAAGCTGAGTACTAGTTTCTTATCAGATGTGAACTTTTTCAGCCATAACTCCCCCACTGTTACCCTCCAGCCTAAGTCCATCGGCACACATTTTATTAGAGTGGTCCTTGCTTCACTAGATAGGT